TAAACCCCTTGGCCCTACACCCCTAAACCCAAAACCCCTGAACCCTAAACCCTAAACCCTAAACCCTGAACCCTTAAACCCTTAAACCCTTAAACCCTAAACCCCTACACCCTAAACCCCTGAACCCGAAACCCTAAACCCCTGAACCCTAAACCCGAAACCCCTGAACCCTAAACCCGAAACCCCTGAACCCTAAACCCGAAACCCCGAGCCCCAAACCCGAAAACCCGAGCCCCAAACCCGAAAACCCGAAAGCCCGAAAGCGAGAACTGAGGCCCCCCGAGCCTCGGCCTAAACCCCTGAACTTTCAAGGTCGAAACCCCCCTAAACCAAAGAATCCCCAAAAGGATTTAGGGTTTAGGATTAGGGTTTAGGGTTTAGGGCTTAGGGTTTAGGATTAGGGTTGAGGGTTTAGGGTTTCCCTAAAACCCCCGAAACCCTTTTTAGCACCCTAAACCCCAAGCCTTCACCAGGCGACCTTGGGGATCTGTCCCACGAACACCGAAGAACACGCTCCAGGGTTTCCAGACGGAATACGATTCGGGTTCCGGGATTAGGATTCAGGGTCAGGTTCCGGCTTCTATATGGGCTACTGCAGGCTATAAGGCTGCTATACCGGTTACAAGATTGCGATAAGCGCTACTAGACGGGTTACTTTAAGCGCTACGACCGCTACGACAGTTGAGAGGTCATGCGACGTCTCGGAGATCTTCGAAGGGGTCTTCCACAGTGACGCAGGAAGGCCTGACAGCAGAGAGCATGCTTCCTCGGAGTCTGTTGTGGCTTTGAGTGCTTAGAGTTCAGGTGTTTGGGTTTGGGCTGTTGTGGCTATGGGGTTTTGAGGTTGTAGGTCCCGGTTTGCAAGGCCTCCTACCAACCCTCATGACATGAGTCGAGTCACAAAAAAGCAGGTGGGGAGTGTGGGGCACTAGTCACTACTGGTCACTACTGCTCTGTGGAGTGGTCAAATTTGGATTCTTGGGTTCAGGCTTATTCGGCTTTGGGGGTTTAAGGCTTCTGGGTTAGAGAGTTCAGGGCTGTGGAGTCACAGGGTTGACCCAGGGTTCATGCCTTATGGCAACAAGAGGCGGGCTGCCAGCAAAAACCTTTGCGGGTATGACTGCTTCAGGATGCACAACAGAAGAGGACTAACCACGATCCGCTTGTCAGCTACACCCTGTGATCAGATCTGATGTAGAAGCTCTGAGAATCTTTCGCGGCCCCAGAGTTCTTGTATTTGGGTGCACAAGACTGCTCGCCTGCAGAGGGGCTTGGGATCCACATTGGGAGAATGGGCTGTACTGGTACGCAAGGTAACACCACTACCCAACCACCCATGTGAGAGCCACCTCAATGGATCCTCCGTCGCCACGCGGCGCGTCACCGGCACGGCTGCGGCCGCCAACGCCAAGACAAGGGAAAGAACGCCTGCGGTCGAATTGGGCTGAGAGGGAACATGCACGCGGAGATGCGTGTACACTCATGAGCAAAGCTGTCTATCTGTACTTGCAAGTGCATGTGTGTGTATATACATACTATGTGAAAACAGATTTACACATAAATAAACACACACACACACACACACATGCATGCACATATATATAAATATATATATATATATATACACATGTGGATATACATATATATATATATATGTACTCATGTGTACACCTGTATATACATATATAGGTAGATAAACATATACATACGCTTATGTTTGCACGAAAGTACACACACCTTTGCATGTGTATACCAAGAAACAGACAAACAAACAAACAAACAAACAAGCAAAGAAACAAAGAAACAAACAAACAAACAAACATAAAAACATAAAAGCATAAACATAGTTTGGCATGGCATAGCAGAGCATGACATAACATAACACAACATCACATAACATTAACATAGCATGCACACATACATACATACATACATACGTACGTACACACATCCACACATCCTTACATACATACATCCATCCACCCATCCATCCATGCATCCATCCATCCATCCATCCATTCATCCATCCGTCCATCCATCCATGCATACAATTGTTTGCGTGCGTAACCACCTTATGCGTTTACACTACACAGATGAAAGTTTGCATCTAACCAGGCAAGATCCGACACATCTGCAAGTCTACCAATGTGTAAAAGACGGACCCGCGCCGTCTCAATACAGCGGCCAGAGGGAAGTACGGAGGGACCAGTTGTATGATTGTGATCAACACATTGCTCGGCTTCTCGCATGTGCATGACGGCCGCAATGTCGCATGCCCGGTTTAAACATGCCAAGCTCGCTTGTTAGTTCCTTATTTGCTACGACACACAACCTATCGCTTACTGACCGCGGCAGCCGTGATGATGCTCGGGCATGAGGTTTCAGGCAGGCAGATTCACAAAGCGTCCCTCGCAAATGTAACTACTACATCTGTGGTCTCCTCCAAACAACTATTGGTTGCACTGACCACACCGTTGGTTCCTTAAGGACATACCTGGTATGCCTCGATACAACGAGCCAGAGTGCCCTAAGACTATTTGCAAACTGCATCTACCCAAGGCCGATCTTATGCTCCAGAATCCTCGGCAATACCTGGCATGCCTCACCATTAGATTGACGCGACCAGGCCAGATGTTTGTACGGTTCCTACAGCGCGCTGTTCACCGCTAGCTTGTTTGCGCTTTCTGTGAAGGCGTTCCCTTCAGCTCAGTCGCCTTTCCAGGCGTCCGGGGCTGCTATGCACTAATGTAATATCTAGACTCGAGAGGCCTGAATGATAAGAATAAGGCTTTGGTGTATATCATAGTTACCACCATTACCATAATTACACTATAGCTACCACCATTACCATAGTCACCATAGTTACCATGCTTGAATAAGAACTTTCAGGGCTGCCACTACTGTTTAAGACCGCAGCCTCACTTGAGCCTCTTCGGGCGGAAGAGCACGGGACAAATCAAGCCAAAGAAATCCTACCACAATGGGACTGCTAGATTTTATATAATATACGGAACCCACGGAATAATGTAGGTAGTAATTTAGGCTGCTATGTTTCATAATACAATGGGGCTGAGGGCTCAGACTTCGAAGAAACGAGCATGGGCTTTCAGGGTAGGGTTCAGTACCATAGTCGCAGGGGGAAGTGTGATGGAACGAGTTTTGTCTGTTCAGGCCCACGACAAGGTGAAGAGAGACCTTGCGAAACCTCCGACCACGAAGACCCTGAACCCCTAAACCCTAAATCCTAAACTAAAAACTCCTGGAACAGCATTCGCCACTCGGCCTTGACGGATACGGGCAGGAGCAAGTAGGACAGAACGGGGATACCCAAGCTGGAGATCTTTCGGGGGTTCAGGGAGATTAGGGTGTCAAGATAGACACTTGGTACAAGGGGGCGGCCTTAACACTTAGAACGAGGTTTTGGTCCACGGTTTTGGTGTATATCATACTGTAACTACAACTATCAGTATGAAGTAACTAAGGAGCCCCCAAAACAGTAAACCCTAAACCCTAAACCCTAAACCCTAAACCCTAAACCCTAAACCTCATTGCTACTGGCTTCGGCCCCTACGTTACCCTGAACTCGAAGCCCCCGAGGTCGGCAAGAATTGCGACAGGATTTCGATCTCCTTCCAAAGGCACCGAGACACGGCTTAGGGTCTAGGGTCTAGGGTCTAGGGTCTAGGGTTTAGGGTTTAGGGTTCAGACTTGTGTTTACAGCCGTGAACATCTTTCAGCTTTCATCAGTCTTCCGCGCCAGCGCGTTTACTAGGTTTGTCCCTCAAAGCCTCTGAAAACTATTCGTAGATAAGATCCGCTTAAGCCGTAAGCCCAACAAGGGCAAATATATAATATCCTAAAGGGCCTACCCAGTTTGGGGTTCAGGTTTGGGTCTTGGGGCTGCTGCCTTAGGAAATTACTGGCAGCCAAACTGCAGATCGAAGCCAAACTGCTGAAAGCACTCCAGCTTTACCGCACAAAGCTTGGCCCCATAAGGCTGCGGTTTAGGGTTTAGGGTTTAGGGTTTAGGGTTTAGGGTGGTCTTCGGGGACCTAGGGCAGTTCGAGTTGAGGGAAGCTCTGTAACCACCAAAAGGGAGTGGAAACCCTGAATCTCCTGGTGCTTTGTGCACCTCGCATGTCGCTGGTCGCGGCACTACTCCAGGGCCATGTGCAACTCTCTCTCCAACTTCGGAGCAGTTAGCCCTTTAGCGATCGTGCCTTAATCTTTCACATAGAAGGCCGTATACATGTCATTATCACTGTTGTTGTGAATATTGCTATGGTTGCTGTTGTACTTACTGACATGGCTACCCGCACTACTGCTGGACCGATCCGAGTCTTGCTACCACTATCGCTTGGACGCTTGGCGTATGCCAGTGGCATCGTTGGTTTGCGCTAGCTTCTGCCATATGGTTCGGGCTGGGGGTTTAGGGTTTAAGGTCTAAGTCTAGGGTTTATGGTTCACTGTGAGGGCTTCATCGGAATCGGGTCAGCGTAGGAAGAGGGTGCATCTACGTCCTGAGCTTAGGAGCGAACTTGGGTTCTTTGCTGCATCGCCAACTCTGCGAGGAAGTTTAGCTCGGGAGCCAAGAGCTCTTGTCGGCAAGGAAAGAACATTCCATTCGCGTGCGAAGCATGTGGACCCTTGGACCTTGATGTGGAAACAGCTGGCGCGCAGGAGTGGATGCACAGGGCCAGAGGGCTGAAGCCAGCTGCACCCCTAAACCCCTGAACCCCCAAACCCCCAAACCCAAACCCCTACACCGTATGGACAAGCTGATCGGCGGAGATTCTTCCAGCACCCTTCGCAGCCTGGCGGGAGTCGTGGGTCGTCTCCCAGGTGAGGTTGGCACAGGGGGTGAAGACATCCCACCTGATTGCGATTCGGTTTAGGGTTTAGGATTTTGCGACCATCATCCCACAACGTCGTGGCCCGGGCTCAATACTCAGAACAGACATTGGCCACACGGAGAGTGGAACAAGCGTCAAACCATGAAAACCTCTAATCCCGAATCGGACTAACCCTACAAAGACATTTGGGGTATAGCAGATTTTATAGAAGAATTACATGATTATGTTCAGGAACCCGAACGGACGATGTTTGTCATTTCTCAGACCCCTACATTACTCTTTTCGGGGTTTGCCGAGAACTGTTTAACGATGTGGCGCTGATCCTGCTGTTGGGCTCTATCGTCGATGTTACTGTGTACTGTATACTCAATACGGGCCAAGTCTTGAAACAGCAATCAACAGTGAAGAAAGCTCCATGAGAGCCCCAAAACCCAAAAAAAACCCTAAACCCGAAAACCCAGGAGCTTCCATGAGCTCCCAGCCCATGTGAATGCAATCGGACGTTCTCACAGGTGAGCTGCCCATGGAAGTGCAAGGAGTTCCTGGGCTGGGCCCGTAGGATTTTGGCAGGCTGCCTTCGCGCCTCTGCGGGATGAGGGTAAAGTCACCAGAGATAAAAGCCACTAGGCCGACACCACGGTGGTCGATCGGGAGAAGGGGATTAGGGTCCAGGGTTCAGGGCCTGGACCCCTGGACCTGAACTGAGAACTCGCCGATCGGTAAACTCTAAGCCCCAAACCTCCACCCTAACCTAGGAGACCGGGGGTCCTCCCACGGGGGTCCAAATTCACCATGAGTTGATAGTTGTACTGATTTATTACCTAGCAACCATACCCTAAACCCTAAACCCTAGCAGCCATAGTGGTAGTATTCCGCAACAGCGGACATAAAGATACGAGTAGCAACCATGGCAATACAACAGTCACCGCAACAACACCCATAGTGATGCCACAGCTAAGTTCGCCGTGAGTAGGGCAAGAATGGCAGGACATGTACATCGGCTGAAGTTAGCAGATATGTCTGAGCTGTGGTCCCGCCGCAGAGAGACCAGAACCTAGATCGAACCAAGGTGTTAAGCACAGACTGGGTCATAAGACTTTGCTTGAGCATCCGGGGTCCTCCATTACCTACTTCTGCTGCAGAAGCCTCGGGGGTCTGAAGGCTTAGGGATATGTGAGTGAAGATGATAGAACATAGGGGCCATAATTATTGTTTAGGGCCCTTTTATACCATACTCATAGTAAGGAAGGCCCGAATAATTATTTGGGGCCCTTTATACTATACCCATATGACGGAACCCCACAAGAGTATTGGTACTTATTCAGGCCCCTATATCACTTGTCTTATCTTGGGAGATAAGAAAGCGTTTAGCAAGCACTCATGTGTTGAGGCGTAGAGCAGTGTGTTGGTGTTCTGGGTCTCTACGGTGCAGTGCAGAATCTACGTTTGGGGGTGTATAACCCTAAACCTAATAAATCGCCCTCACGTGGCCGAGACCGTGCAACCCAGCAGCATGCACGGGTCCGCGGGCACCTTCCAACGAGCCGCTTGAAAATACCCCAAGCGCCCCTCATACGGGAAGTTCGACGAGATTCAGCTGGAATCCTCTTGTTTTACAGCTTTACAGCAACCCTAAACCCTAAACCCTAAACCCTAAACAATAACCCTAAACCCTAAACCCTAAACCCTAATCCCTAAACCAAACATGGAGAACTTCATCTTACAGCTGCAGATCTGCTGCCGGACCGTGTGTTAGACCTGCTGCCCTTTGCAACGAGGATCCAAGACTGAGCAATGCCGATCGATGTACAGTCATTGTCCTCTTCTGGAGCCCTTCTAAGTGATATAGCAGCCTAGATAATTGCCTATACTATGTTGGGGGCTCCTTATTATACTTATTGTATATTGGGCCCCAAAACCCTATTCTAACCAATAAGGCCCCTGCCTTAGATTCCTGTCCCACCCACCGAGCTGTTGTGAGTCCTCGTTCTAGAACTTGGTGCCGGCTATCCGGGAGAGACGAGGAAGGCCCGAAATTTATGTCTGTGCCGAGTGCGGGTACTGTAGTGGCCTTAATAATTAGAATAGGGTGGAGGCTCCTGATTATACCTATAGTATAATGGGCCCCAAAACCCTATTCTAATTATTAAGGCCCCGATATTACACATGTGTGGATCCCGCGGAAGTGTGGAATACCCTGCCAGCCAAAGCCCTCGAGAAGTGCAGTCGTACCGTGTTACGGCCATGAGACTGGGGTGTATGGCGGGTGGGACCTCTGTGAGGATGTCACAGGTGGAGAAGGAGTTGTGCGGCGTGAAGTAGGCCACCTCGGTGTGACGGCTGAGCCATGGCCCATGTGTTTTTGTAGTCTCTAGCTGGAGTTACGGTCTACGAAGAAGAATGGGTTCAGAAAGACCGTCGGTATCTTTGCCCGAGAGCTGTTTCCCAAGCGCACTTGTCTCGAAATTCTCCGGCTGCAACTGCCCGGCACGGGATCTTCGAGGAAGAGCCCACACCAAAACAACCCCAGGCCAGCAAACCCGAAGTCCTGTAAAGCTTTCGAACCTCCCCCTTCTGCTAGAATTCTTGGGCCAAGCACCGGGGCTGGAATGCCGAAGCCTCGAATGCTGTGGGCCGAAGGGACTTCAAAAGCAATGACTGCTAAGTAGAGAGTCGCGAGAGTCGCGGTCGTCCTCGTGCGTAGTGGCAGTGCTAGCGGCATCGGTGGTGGAGGGAGCAATGTAGCAATGGAGGAGGACGGAAACATGAGACACATCGGCAAACGAAGCCTCGTGGAAACCTTCATCCTGGAGCAACATCTGTGCACAGTGAATAAGACTTGCTCCCTCAATTGAATCCGTACCCTGTAGAGACAGCTGGACCCTCTTATGAAGCTTGGGAGCTGTGGTTGAAGAACCGCCTTCGCCACCTGGTGAAGCAGAAGGCTTGGAACCCCGGTTTGCTGGTGTCTGGGTGGGTGGATGCACGTGGGTTGTGAATCCAAGGTAATCAGCGACCGCGAATTGAGTTCTCCACCGCTTCGCCCACACTTCTGAAGTGAATTGCGCTTCTGTTCTTGCTGACGCTCCTCCAATCCTCCGTTTTGCCGCGAGATGGTCCCTAAACAGTGCATACCAAACGCATTCTGTTTGAAAGGTCCCACTGTCCAAGAAAGCACGCGACCCTGCACGACTTGAACCCGACATCCCCAAATTCCTCGGGAAAAACATACCCTCTATCATTCTATCTATCGATCTATCTATCTATCTATGGTTCTTTCTTTGTGTCCAACTACCGGTCCATCTATCTATCTATCCATCCATCTATCTCTGTCTGTCTATCTATCTCTGTCTGTCTGTCTATCTATCCATCTAGCAATCTATCTATGCATCCATCCTATCCCGTGCCATACCATCCCATGTCGATCCATCTATCTACCTGTTTGTATGTATACGTACATCTAGGAAAACGTGCACACATAAGTACGTCTTCACATCTATGCATCGATACATCTGAACATCTATACATATATACATAAGTACATGCATGCATACATGCGTTACATACATACACACACTCATTCATTCCTCCCTTCCTTCCTTCATTCACTCACTCACTGGCTCACTGCCTCAGCCAGCCAGCCATTCATACACACATACGTACGTACGTACGTACGTACAGACAGACCGACAGACAGACAGACGGACGGACGGACAGACAGACAGACAATATGCACACATGTAAGTAGGTGAGTACGTACATACCGACCTACATACATACCCTACATACCTCATAAACATACACACACAGAGACATGCGCATACACATCATACTTATCATACACATCAAACACACCAAGCACATCATGCACATCACATATCCATGCACCTATACATATATGTTCAACTATACATGTACCTTTACGTTCACACATATGTATATGCATGGGTGGTTGTCAAAATTATGGTCCCTTTTTGGGTCCTTATTATAATACGGCACCTATTATTTAGGGTACCCCAAAAGGGACCACAATTTTGACAACCACCCGCATAGGGGAAGCTTCCGCCTGATCCAGCCAAAGTTCTTGTCGAAGGCTGCCGCCTGGCCGTGGCTCAGATGTAATACTGTCGGGTTGGGAGTTGATTTAGGGGCCCTAATAATTAGGATAGGGTTTTGGTTGGGAGTTGACTTAGGGGCCCTAGTAATTAGGATAGGGTTTTGGGGTATGGTATACTATAATCAAAATGAGGCAACCCTAAAAGAGTATTGGTGATTGTTTAGGCATTAGGGTTTAGAGTGTAAGGACTCGGATGTTGAATCTACGGCTTGTCGGGTTCTTGATTCCGGCATGGTGACAGTCCGCTAAGGGCCCGGCTGCAAGCGCACCGGGAGGGACGTTGCAATTCCCCTCCTTGTCAGACAGGGTCGCCCTACCCTACCAAGGCGCAGGATTTCACGATGTCTCTACTCCACTCTCCTCTACTCGTGCTACTGCTGCCCAGGCTCCACGTCGACGAGTTCGCTGATCCATTGCCATCTCCTACAAGTTTCCAGAGCTCCGGGGCCACTTGAGAGGTGGATATAAGGAAAGCCTAGTATAGGGGCCTAAAAGCTCAAATAGGGTTTGCGGGTATATTATACAAAAATCATAATGAGGAACCCCCAAAATAATATTGGCAATATATTACACTATAATCATAATGAAGCACCCCCAAGATAATGTTGGTAATTATCTAGGCCCCTAAACCCTGAACCCTACGGCCCCGAACCTCAAACCTGGCCCTGGACCGTTGAAGCATAGGCCCCCTGAATCGTGATGGAGGCCTGGACTCCCTGTCACCCTTCGGGTTTAGGGTTTAGGGTTTAAGTTTCAGGGTTTAGGGTTTAGGGTTCAGGGTTCAGGGTTTAGGGTTTAGGGTTCAGGGTTTAAGTTTCAGGGTTTAGGGTTCAGGGTTCAGGGTTTAGGGCTTAGGGTTCAGGGTTAAGAGTTTAGGGTCCAAGGAACAGGGACTGCGGGAAGGTCAGCTCACGGCTGGACTGAGCTCGCGGCTCATCTTCGTGTGTCCGAGACATCCAGCTGATGATGGGCTTCAGCTGCGATCTGTTCAAGGGTTTAGGGTTTAGGGTCTAGGGCTTAGCGTTCGAGGATTTAGGGTTTAGGGTCTAGGGCGTAGGGTTCATGGTTTAGGGTTTAGCGCTTAGGGTTTAGGGCTCATGGATTAGGGTTTAGTTTTCAGGGTTTAAGGTTTAGGGCTCATGGTTTAGGGCTTAATTAGGGCTTAGGGTTTCTGTTCAGGCGGGCTGGTTTGCCCAAGCACAAGAGCTGAAAGGCACCTCTACTAATCGAATCTGACCCGAAGCTATGGTTGCTGCTAGGGAAAAGCCCAGGTTATGATCGCAGCTAATGTAGTGGCCTTAACAATTGGAATAGACCCTATATTAGGTGCTCTGATCGTTCAAGAACAGAGCTGGGACTCACAGCAAGTCGTGGACCTACGAAGTGAGACGGCCAGGTCGTTCCGCAGCCACCTGGGATCACAAAGAGAGTATCAGGCATGCAGGACCCCGGGCCCTCAAACCAATCTCCCAGAAACTGCGTTTCAATGGTCTGGGCACACTGAGGCCATGACTCATCCCACATTGGAGCGAAGCGCAGGTACGGTCCTCAAGCAAGCAATCTATTCTTTAAGCCCCTGCCGAGTACGTCATAGAAAACTGTAGTATATTGTAGTAGACTATTAGACTAGAGTATATCGAACACTGTAGTATACTGTGGTATACTATGGTATATTATCATAAGCTATAGGCTATTATAGTATATTAGACATCCTCAAAGCCCTGACTGGCTGGAACCCTCGCTCCGTTGGTCTCAGGTGCTTTGAAACCGAAGCTGCGACACACCCGCTGGGGAGGAGGCTGCAGCTCTGGTAGACGTAGGGCCTCGCTTTGGGAGTGGATCTTGCAGCTTGGGGTTCAGGGTTTCAGACTAAAGGTTCGCTCCGGAGCTTTAAGTAGGGCCTTTGGAATTGAGTGGCTCCCTGCCGAGTTCAGGCTGGGTTCAGGGTTTAGGGTTTGGGGGGGGTCGGGGTTTCCGGTGCATAGGGTTGAGGGAAAAGCTCACGGCAGGAGTCGACTCCCGTGGACCTAGCAACCATTGGCGTATAGCCTCTTGCACAGTTGGCGGGCGATAGCAACAAAGATGTCTGACAGTGCTCGTTGATGCAGACAGGTTTCTTTCCAAGCATCCGTCCCCTGCTCGTGACCCCTAAGCACCTTCGAGTTCCGGGCTCCCCGTGCCACAGCAGCTGGGCACAGTACCTGTGAGGCTTCGGGGTCCCATAATTACAAGGGTTATAGGGTTATAGGGTTTAGGGTTATAGGGTTTAGGGTTTAGGGTTTAGGGTTTAGGGTTTAGGGTTATAGTGGCTAGAAGGGTTTAGGGTTCAGGGTTTGGGGCTCGGGGTCTGTAGGGTCCAGGGCAAAGGTTTGTGGGTTAGGCTTGGAGTTGGAATGAGTCACTGAACTTGGAGATTTTTGACACCATGATGCCTAGTCTTATGCATTGCACAGTGACGGGGCTTCTCAAGTATCCCTCGCATCTAGGCCAACAGATTCCCAAATGCAGCTGTACACTGCTACACCCCTAAACCCTAAACCCTAAACCCTAAACTGCCCCAGACGTATTACCCGACCCCCTCCGATTCCCTGAATGCCAAGTCTGCAGCCTCATCCAGCCCACACCGACTTTCTCGCCGTTCCTCCTGCCAGAAAGTGTGATTCCAGGCGGAAAAATTTTCCGAAAAACATAGCAGCTGAGACATGTCACGGCAGTGGCCACCGTTTTCGAACGAGCCGTTACAAAGGTTCAAACTTACCACATTTCCGCAAGCGAGATCTCTGAGCTCTTCCAGCCTCGTCTCGCCAACTCGCATGACGCGAAGACGCCCCTTCCGACAGACAAGCTTGATCTTCCTGGTTCCTACGACCCTCCGATCGTCCCACCTCTGGCAAAGCTGAGAGGAAGCGGTTCATTGCAAAATTCTTCAGACACTGCCGGACGCCCTAAGCCAAAGCAAGACACATCAGACCTCGCACCGGCCCTGCCTCTAAAAGGCTCCAGACGTTGTAGACTTCGCCATGAACGACGACCTGTCGACTGGTTCATTCCTCCGGGCTTTTGGGTCGCTGGGGTGCCTGGTCGTCTGAGAGACTACTAGTGGTACTGTTGATGGACAAAATTCTGCATGACCCAAATACAGTATAGTACCATAAACCCCAAAGTTTGGGTATATAAGGTCATGCAGGATTTTGTCCATGAGCCGTAGTTCCATTTGGGTAGTTGTCAAAATTAGGGTCAACCGTAGTAGCAGTAGGAGCAGTATCAGCAACCGACCTGCCTGGCGAGGCTTCGGGATGCGCGTGGCCCTCTCGCCGAGCCGCAGCATCCGGTAGTACTTCTTCTGCCACTCCTCTTTGAGGCTTTCCGGTTCGGGGCTGTAGAAACAAAAAAGGAACCGTTCGGAAACATCGGCTCGCTGTGGCAGACGACAGCATTTTTGGAGGAGTACAGATCCCTCTCACCCGAAAGATCCTCGGTGAACATCTCCAGTTCGTCCGGGGACTTGTAGCCTTCAGGGACAAGCACAGAATTCGAACTTCTGCCTCAATGTATCACAGGTCTCCTCCCACGGCAAACAAGTGCGATCAAGCAGCCAACATAGGCCACACCGACACTTATCGCTTTCTTGTCCTTCCGAGGCACAAGACCCCCGAGGCGCCTCAACCGTCCTACCAACGAACTGCCTCTAATCAAGTTGCCTGTCGGCTCCTTCTGTTCGTTGTCTTTTCGGCTGCTAGTGGGTTGACAACACATAAGGCCGAGTCAGTCTTCCAAAATATTCCCGGCACGGGCGCATACACATCTCATCTTGCATGGCATAGCAGGCTCACCGAGGCCCTAGAAGGAGTTCTGCAACATTCTGCCAGAACGTTTTCTTCTGGCCCTGCGAGTGGGTCAAAAAGCCGAAAGGCCCTCAGAAACGCTTCCCGCCCGCATAAAGCGAGACGGTATACTCCTTTATGAGCCCGATAGACATCACACTGTCCTTGGCTTGCGAGGCCATTGAAAGCAGTGTTTCGGGCAGCTCGATCTGGTCTCTGCCGACAGCACTGCTCCTCACGAAGGGGAACTTTCTTATCCACATGTCGGCAATCCTTCTTGGAATACCCGTCCTACGACTTTCAGTTCACACTAGTTTTCTGAAAGTCCCAGATGTCTTGAGCAGGATAGCAACTAATTATGGATGACCTTGAAAGATTCACTTCTGCGGTTAAGGTTTGGCATAAAGTCAAACCTCAACCCTACACCAAGCTGAACACTGCTTGTGAGCTCCCTGAAATGTCGTTGCAGAAAGCTGCAAGCGGCAGTCGACGCCAGATGGGTTCTAAGCCGTGTACTAAACCCCCAAGACAATGCCCAAAACCTCTAAAGCCCTAAAACCCGATCTATGCCACCCACGAAGATGCGGAGGTCCCGCACATGCACACAAAGATGGCTCGCTGGCTGACCTAGGATGTTCTTGCAGGACTGCGAGAAGTTCATGTACAGATACAGACACAGTGTTCGGTTCGCCTGTCTTGCAAAATTTGGCTCCGATCATGTGAACCCATCGCAGGCCCAAAAGTGCACCATTACATTGTTTCAACCATCGGCCATTGCATTGAGAGCTTTGGGGATTTCAAGAGCATCCTACCAGTAGGGGACTTGAAACGTGGAAGACCGTCGACGAGCTGAAACGACTCCTAAGCATGCCATCTTGGGGCTCTTGGGGTTTAGGGTTTAGGGTTTAGGGTTTTAGGGTTTAGGGGTTAGGGTTTAGGGGTTTAGGGTTTAGGGTTTAGGGTTTAGGGTTTGCTAAACTTTTTCTACACGGATGACACAAGATCCTCTGGAG